TTTAAAGTATAATGTACTTTCATTTTGGTACATGTTTGTGAATGAGCAACTTATTTACAAAAATGAAACGTTTTCTTCAGAAAATTCTCAGATTCTCCTTTTGAGAGTAAACCTTTTAACTGTAAAGCCCAATGCATTTGAAGTAATATAATTTACATCATTAACGTTGGATTAAGTGGTGGCTACAGGCTATTTTTATTACAAATGTCTTTGTTTGATATTATTCTATAAACCTTTTGGGTATAGGATGGATAAATGTGAGAGTTTTTTTTTTCCTTTGAAGATGTGTGTCAGAACATTTTCTGAAAAGACACATAATGATTAAAAAGTTATACATATTGTTGTAATTGAAGTGTAGGGTTTATGTTTGAAAAGTTAAACTAAAATGACTTTGGCTAGATTAAAACAAAAAATAGAGAAGACCTAAAAAATGTTGGCATTAACAAATTTAGAGAAAGTGACATAACTGATACCATAGAAATACAAAGGGTTGTTAGGAAGTCTTATAAACAACTATACAGTGACAAATTAGAAAACCTAGAAGAAACTGATAAATTCATGGCACTTACATCCTACTCTCATTGAATTCTGAAGAAATATAAAAGCTAATTGAATCAATAATGAGTAAAAAATTCAGTGAGTAGTCAAAACTACACCATTAAAAAATATTGGGTGACTTCCCTGTTTAACTCATGTATACTCTAAAGACTAATTCTATGAAACATTATTATACTGATACCAAAATCAATAGCAGTACAACAATAATGACAAAACTACAGACAGGTAACCCCTGTAAATATAAAGGCAAAATTTCTCCACATAATGCTGGAAAACTGAATACAATAGCTAACTACAATCATCTGTCTTGATCAAGTGGGAATTATCCCAGGGAATCAAGAATAGTTCAATATATGCAAGTAAATACAACACATAACTTCAACATTATGAGGACAAAATCCACATAAATAACTTAATAGGTGCATAAAAAGCATTCAATAATATTCAATGTACCTTCATTATAAAAATTCTTAAGAGATTATGTATAAATGGAACATATCTTGATACTAGTCTTTGTATAACAGAACCACATATTATTTTTTTTAATTGATTTTATTTTTTAAAAATACACAATAGCGAAATGCATTACAATTCTTATTACACATATAGAGAATATTTTTAAATATCTTTATATATAAAGAATGTTCACACCAATTCATGTCTTCTTATATGAGAACCACATATCACTGAACAGGAAAAAGTTGAAAACATTTTTCCCAAGATAGAAAAGTGAAGGATGTCTACTTGTAATACTCTTGGTCAAAATAGCTCCTATCCAGAGAAATTAGAGAAAGAATTAATATGCATTCAAAATTCGAGGAAGTGAATTATTCCTGTTTAGAAATAACATGATGTTATATATACTAAAGGTGAAGACTCCATCAATAACTCAGATCTGGCAATAAAATTCAGTATATTTAAAGTCTATTAATGAGTGTATTATCCTTTATATAAAAATTTCCCTGTATTATTTGAAATACAGAAATCAATATTTTCAGATACAATGATATACCTAAACATCTTTGGCAACAAATTATTTTCTATTAAGAAAATGAATGATGTGGAGATATATATATGTATGTATGTGTGTGTGTATATATATATATATACATATACATATATGTATTATATATACGTATATGTATATATATAAAATTATACATATATTATATATATAATATATATATAATATAATATATATATATAAAATAACTGTTAAACTAATGAAGCCGTAACAACAAAAGTCATTATGTTGGTAAATCTATATTCAGACACAGAGTTTATATAAGTAGACCTTTGTGATAAAAGAGAGAATATTAAAAGAGAGAGAGAGAAGAAGAAATTCAACATGAATTACTAATAGTTACAACGGACTAATTTTTTAGATATTTCCATTGCGCATGTCTTTATTTTATATCCACATAAAGTCAAAGGCTATTCATTATGTTGTTTAATGAGTAAAGTTTATATCAAAAACACCCCAGAGGTTTAAAAAAATAATATACAATCAAGATACCACAGGGGACTGTGAATGTTGTATCTAATTGCTCAAATTGGAGCCTCTTTGGCAACACTTCAGTGATATTCTCTAATTCCATGTCTCCAAGGTTTGATGATAAATATTTGTGACACTTTGGGTACTAGTATAAAGTATTTGGTGCAATATCTCTCAGTTTCCTTCAAAGGTGGGAACATAAAGCAACATTTGAAACATTCAATGAAATACACTCTGGACTCTACTATTTAGGGTCTGTTATATTAAATACAGATGATTTGGGGATTGCATTGATCTCAGGAAAAAGTTCTTCAGTAAATGCAGCACTCAAGAGCTTCTGTATTTAGGTGAGTTCATTCAGTTCTTGTGTTATTTCCGTTTAGTGGGAAAATCTCAAGTTATAATAGTATTCACAGGAGACAAATTGATGTATCAGTCCCAATACACCCAGATCCAATTCATTTCACTAAGGGAGACTTTTTGAGTTCTTCTGGTTTTCTCACTGAATACCCACAATTTGTACATGAATAAAATCAACATTTGGGTAAGTAGAGAGTAATAAAAAAATCACCTTTACAATACCCACAATCTCTGAGGAGTTAAGAGTAACTATATAAATGATAGGCTGCAGCCATTGATAACTGTCAATTGTAAACTTCACTCTTTACCTGTACACAGGAGAGAAAGAAAAGTGAATATAGTTTACAATGAAAGTGGAAAAATCATGCATTATACAAGTGAGAATAGAACAGAAAAATATACTTTGTGCAAATGAACATGTGCTATGTTGCTGGTTGATAAATATAGCATCTAGAGAAGAATGTGTTAGGCGAGTGGTTATGAGATTGGATATCTAGATCTGGACCACTTTAGATAAGCAAGACAGAACACTGAAAATTTCGTGCTTTCATTGATAAATATATTTGAATCCTTTAAGCCACTAATGTCAGTTTAAAATGATTATGGAAAATTATTCTCACAGTGCTCCATAGAATAATTAGATTGGTAGAAAGGTATCAGGGAACAGTCATTAGACTAGCCTTGTGTTGCAAAGAGATAAAGATTATTTGATGAGCAACCAGTCTCTGTGTGATACATCTTTCCTACAGAACAAAGCCTGTACAAGTGAAGAGCGTGTGACAGCTATTACATAGGACTCTAGGAAGGTGATTTGGTCTTGGATTAACTGCCCAACTGAAATCCTGCACAGTGCTTCTGTTGTGTGGGTTCAGGGACAAAAATACAATTCTACACTGTATTCCCAAATGTACCTACATGTGGATAGTTGCTGCTGCTTGGGACTGACTTTCCCAAGTATACACAGTTTTTAAATCATGCTACCTTCTCATGTTGTAACAAATGTAGTGCTGCAATCTACTGTGAATCATACCATGTTGCTTATGCTTTAAATTTTTTACAGAAGTTTCTACCTAGTGATTTAAATTTTATATTTTTAGATCCTCATTTGACTGTCGTTGAAATTACTTTGGCATTGAGGAATATCATGATGTCCTGTTGGTAATGAGTCTGTATTCTGATATTTGGTTTTGACAAGGCTTTAAACTTGAGTGAAAAAATGTATTTTTTTCATGACATAACAAAACATAAGAATTTGTAGTATTTTAACAGTTTCTATTGTTCCTCATTTACTCATCTTCTGAAATTTGGCATATTGGAAAATGAAGAGATTTTGATTAATTATAGCTTTCACTATTTTATTCCACCATATTTTACATTTTGCTGTGATCCCATTTTACTGAGTAATATAAAATTCTGGGAAGGTGATATTGTTAAAATTTTCAAGACTAGTTCAATATAAAGGGAAATGTTTAGTATCGCCATAGCACAACTCCAAAATATGTTGAAATATGGAGTGACAAAAGACAGTGAAAAGGAAAACAAAAGAACTAATAAAATTCTAAATTCATTATTTTACAGGTAGGTTAACATATTACAAGTTTTTGAATGGTTCTGAGCTAATTCCATTAGAACTCAAGAGGAAAGGCAGTGAAGAAGCTACAGAAATCTGCTGTATGTGTTCTTCCTACAGAATTAATTTACTAACAGATTCAGGCAAAAATATAGAAGCTCTTCTCAGGAAGCCTCTGTTTTAATAGTGAAACTTATTTTTTGAACATAGCAGAATATATTCTATTTTTGTTCTTCTTGTCTTTGTTTTCAATTATTTGAATTTCAAAATTATTTGCTGTGCAGATGTGATATAAATAAACAATAATTTTTAAAATAATTCAGCAGCATTAACCCAACATTTTCAGCAACACTTTTTAATTGAGACTAACTATACCTCTCACATTTCTTCCTAACCTTTACTATTGTAAACATTGATTCTCACTTCTTTTCCATTTTATCTATAGGATCCAAGGAAACCAGACTGCTGGAGTGACATTCATCCTCCTGGGCTTCTCAGAATTCCCAGAGCTCCAGGTGCCCCTGTTCCTGGTGTTCCTGACCATCTACACAGTCACTGTGCTGGGGAATACAGGCATGATCCTGGTCATCAGGGTCAACCCCAAACTCCACACCCCCATGTACTTTTTCCTTAGTCATTTGTCCTTCATTGATTTCTGCTACTCGACTGTGGTTACTCCCAAACTACTAGAAAATTTGGTGGTGGAAGACAGAACCATCTCCTTCACAGGCTGCATCATGCAGTTCTTCTTTGCGTGCATATTTGTGGTGACAGAGACATTCATGTTGGCAGTGATGGCCTATGACCGATTTGTGGCAGTCTGTAACCCTCTTCTCTACA